AGAGCAACAAATGCTGCTGCTGAGATTTTTTTTTAAAATTGGGTTTTCGGGAATGGATCTGATATGATTGCTAAATTTATCAATTTTATTCATCATTCTGAGGAAAGAACAGGGAGAGGTTCTTTAACGTGTAACATCTGGATCAGCTTAAACATAGGTGCAGCAGCCTGAACTCTCTTAGGCAAGCGTTCTTGTTATTTCTTTAAGTAGTCTTCAGGAATAGTTCTTGAATTCTTGAAGGGCATTCAAAGGTCTTGTTTGCATGTTGGGTGTTTTTAGTTCCGTCCTTTGTCAAGATGATCCCACACTGGTGCAGTAATGTTGATGTCCGGGCTCTGGGGAGGCCAATCCACGACTGATACTGTTACGCTGTGTGTTTTTCTATACAGGTAATATTTTACTGCACTGGCAGTGTGTGTGGACCATGGTATTACATCGTGGTTCAAAATCTGACTGTACCTTCCTGTGTGTACAGTTTCATAAATTTCAACAAAATCCCAATAGCCACTGACTGAAATGCAGCTCCAAACCTCCATTATATTTTACTGATGGCTGCAGCCTAGTTCTTGTGTAATTTGGCATACTTCAGCTTTTCCCTTCCTTAAGAATGGCTTATTGACAGCGACATTTCCTCTGAGACTATTTTTAATGAGGTCAGTGACCTGTGGATGGATCAACTGAAGGTCCAGATGCATCTGGATCTTCAGGTTTTTTTTCCTGTTTCTTAAGGACATGACTTTCAGATACTTTTTATCTGCTCTAGATAGTGTTTTAGACCCACCATTTCTTCTTTTATTCTCCACTTTTCCAGTTTCCTCAGATGTTTTAAAGACACACTGCACACCATGCCAAGATATGCCAAGTTTCTGATCTAGAACTCTATGGAAATCACGTTGTTGCTGTAAAAATGCTATTCTACTTATACCTGTCAGAATGTGCTATCTTTGGCATTTTTACATAGATTCAACTAATGAAATGGTAACAAATGATGTGTTTGTGCAACAGATTGTGACAAAGTGCCTAAAGCTGCATGTTAAAATTAGTTCTTTGCGAAGTTGTCTTTTATGTGTAGACTCAACACTGGTTAATCCCTTAAAATAAGTTTCTTTTTTTCTTTTTTGCTTAAATAATTCATAGGTCAGAGTTAAGTGGCTGAGCAAACAAAAAAATATTCCTCTGAAAGTGATCAGGTTCAGGGACTGAACTAAAAATTTGAAAAAAATCATTGAATAACCTTCAGAAAGCCCGGAGAACTACTGCTAAAGATCACTTTGAAAAATTGCACTAGTTTTGACCTTTTACTTCTGTGAGATGTCAGAGGTACAGAGAGAAGCAGACTGGTCAACTCATCTGAGTTTGCATTTAAATGAAAATAACTGAAAACTTTTGCAAGCATGCAAAGAAAAGCTGTTGGCGTAGCATCCATAACAGACTCTTTAGCTGTTGGCTTTCTCTGTATAATCTAAGATGTTCACTGTGCTGCAAACCCTGAATAATATAGAACTGAATTCAAAAGATCAACCTGATACTTTGGCCTATTTTCACCAATACTCAGTCTAGCTTTAAGAGTCAGGATTGGATTTATCTCCAGTCCACGTATGGAATCAAAGCATCCCTATTTACTAAAGCAAGACGATACCATATCACATTCTGTACTGAAGTAACACTAGCAGAGCTTTAATAGTAAAAGAATCCAGGTGCCAAACATCATTTTAGATCCATTCACACCAATTGGCACAAAGTGAATCAGAAATATGGAGGCCCCGAACTTGCTGATCAACCTAAATCCTGTTGAGCAAAAAATCATTTAGCCCTTTGATTTCAAAACCAGAGCTGTCTGTGTCCTGAGTTACCAAATGCTTTCAATTGTTACTGTGTTGTTAACAGAAGGGGAGCATCTCTGGGCAACATGGAGGGGAGTTTACTCCTGCCCAAACTGTTTTGAAACCTACTGCTGGCATTAAAAAATCAAAATGAGCGCATATTTTCCAGAAAACACACCAGAGCTCTCACTTTAAACAAAATACTGTGTATGCCGTCATAAATTGTATATGGAGCATTTTCAATTAAATATATAATTTATTATTTTAATTTATTGAAAAGGCTATCAGCATTCTTGATTTTATTATTCAATCTTATTTTGCAGTTATACTGGCTTCTTCATCTTCTTAAAAAAAGCGTTACCCTGACACTGGCTCACAGCCACTGGAAAATGGAAAAAGGATACAGTTGAAAAGTCACCTCCCCTTCACAGTCCTTTCATAATTCTGGATGTCAAAACATTTAACATCCTGAAAATAAGTGTTGACATTTTCCGTTCAAGGATGTTTTATGCTCAGAACGTTTGTTACACAGGAGTTCTAATAGAATAATTTCTTTAAGCCTATAATTCACCTCAATTTGTTCATCATATTTAGTTGAGCTCTAAATAATTAACAGTTAATTACAACTTATGTGACTTGGACAGTCCCCTTGGTGGACGTGTCTGTTTTGCTCTGAGTAAAAGCATGAAATGTGCATGGTTGATTTCCTCCAGAGAGAAATTTGTTCGGTGGTTTTTATTGTTATGACTACATTAACTCCAACATTGACGTGAAACGGCTAGTGGTGGTGATGGTGGGGGGACAGGAAACAAAAAAGTTTTTCAATTGAAAACACAAGGACACTGACTTTTACAGATGTGAAACAACAATGGACGCCAAGTTTGAAGGTTCAGGTTTGAAGGTTCAGGAAATGTGGTTCTTTTTGTGCTGAGCGAGCGCTATGTCAGCTCAAGGTTTTCCATGTTGGTTGAGGAGTTGGGGCCACCCTTACTGAAGGTTTTCCATAGTGGTGAGTCCTCAGACATACCCGGCATCCAGAGAGTCTGTCGTCTGTGTTTATGGAGACGATGAAACACCATCCTGTGTTTTACCACGATTAGGTTAATTGACAAAGCAGATTTAAACTGGTTATAAGATGTAATTGCTCTAAAAAATGGTGTTAATCTAACTGGGAAGACTGGACTTGGTACAGAGTAAAATTTACTGTCCCATCCGTCTTTACTAAGTACATAGCTTATAAGCGTTTCAGTCACTGGGATGAATGCCTTCCTTTGTCCCATCCACAGCCTCTTTGTTATGAAGGAGAAAGCTTTTTAACTTTTGACTCATAAGCCAGATATAGCAGCCAGCATTTGTCAGTTTAATGTTGAACAAGTGTCTTGGCTGCTGTCACATATTCATATATCTTTACTTTGGCAGCTCAAAATGCTAACATGGTAAATTTTGGAGTGAGGCAATTTAAACCGCAAGTGGCAAAGATTTACTCCGTAATAATCGGTCTCAATAGACAATCTTCGATGATCTTTGAAGCTGTCAGTCAGAGGAATTTAGTTTAAATTGATTTGAAATGCTCTCCGTTCTGTCCAGATCCTTTTCAGCTACAATTTGATCTCAAATATGACATTAATGGAGTTTGGTTCATGTCAGTGTTGAGTCGTTTTTGCTTTGTTTTCCAGCTGTCTTTGGAAATCTCATTGACACATAGCGAGCTAAAGGTGGTTTCTGCTGTCAGAGTAAAGGGGCTGCTGGATGCATTAATTTTACGAGCCTGTCACATTGCATTAGTCATATTTGGTACGCTAACTCTTTGTCCTATGCAAATTCTTTCTCGACAGTGTTTGAAGCATCTTGTTTTTAAGCTTTTTAATGATGGTATGTAAGCTGCTGAGTTGTTTTGGAGCAAATTAAAGCAGAACAGAATGTGGTTATTGCAGTAAAAGACATCATAAAAGCAAATTTGTGAAAAGCACTGTATGCTGCAAGGTAGCAATTATGATGAACATAAAATACTGGCACGGTGAGCACAGGACTCAGAAGAAGTTTAAAAGAGCAATACTCCACTTATAAGTCAGTTATTGGGGTAATTTGATTAGAAACCTTTTACGTAGATGAACATTTATCCGCAGTAAAAACACAAAGTATTTTACACAGTTATTCTAATGAATATTGCTCAGATTATTAGGTTATATCTTATAAGCCACATTCTTAATGCTTCGGTATAATAAGAAACATCTGATGATTATACACTATGAGATGGTTAAGCTTTTAGAAGTGTCATAATCATAGAAAGTTGCATTAAAAAGGAAAAAACCTTGTCTAGTTGACTGTACATTATGACTACTCAGTGCCTACTCGCTGACGTTACTGACCCACGAGGCACAAATAACAAAAACGTGCACAAGCTGTACATATTTTATTGCAATTACAAGTGTCATGACAATTTTTAATACATTATATTACAAATTTCTTATGTACAAACGCAATTTGTTGGATCTGCTGACATCAACAAACCACGAGATTTATACAGTAAATACAGTGCTTGATTTATGCAAGCAAATTTTATGATACCTGCTCAAGCTATTCAAGATTTCAAAATGAATATAAAAAAATGTTGATCTTAAAAAAAGTTCCATAAAATACTGTCAATCAGGTTTTTGTACTCGCTAACAGTTTAAGGTTAAAAAAAAACCAAGACAGAGACAGAGGGAGAAGAGGAAAAGAGGAGATGTCGCCGGGTACATGAACTGTGCAGTTTTTCAAATTGGAAAAGAAAAAAAAACTGGCCAAAAAAAATCAAGGCTCTATTACAAGTTAATAAATCTAACTGGTTCTACAAATTGCACTTTTGAAAAATGAATGAAATTTAAAAAAAAAAATCACTGGATACATTTCCTGTGTCAACTCTATATATTGTAGGGTCCCTAACTTAAAGCTACTCCCTCACATCCTAAAGGGTCACCTAAGGTTCCTGTCTCTATAATAACTTCTGAGCAATGAGCACGCCTTCATTTGTCTCATATTTTACACTGAGAATGTACACACCTCAGAAAAAGCAGGGAGCAAATGTGTAAAGTTGTCATGGAGATGAGTATTGCCCTAATGTTTGATATTGCACTTTTATCTCAATTTACCTTGACCTGGTTCTAGGTCCCCCCCCCCCAAAAAAAAAAAAAAAAAAAAAAAAAAAAAAGAATAATAATGGCCTGTAAATAGTTTGTTTAGGGAGGCATACAGTATAGTATATGTTCCTCGGATGCTCAGTGGAAGGTGTTGGGGTTTGGACGGATCATCATGACTACTTTCTTTAATGAGTAAGCTCCTCCTCTGAACTCTGCCCAGTAGACTCCATCTTGGTAGCGGCTGCGGTAGTGTCCTCCTCTGTACCAAACTCCATTCAGATTAGAATGGGCACAGGAGTTGTACCACCAGCCTCCCTTCTGGTAATGGGCACAATTTCCTTAAAAACGTGGAAAATAAATGAGAAACAGTCAAGCTATGCTCATAAACATGGAGAAATTATTGGAGCTAATCTGCCGGAACATCACCCAGATTTTTACCTGTATACACATCGTGGTCTCTGTCCAGTGTTGTGAACTGTTTGCCGTTGTGCCAGGTCAGCGAGTCTCCAGCATTTCCATGGTAGCGGCCCACCCTCAGCTTGTAGAAATCAGCTTCAGACTCCACCCTGAAGCTGGCATACTCCGCAAACACCTTTCTGCCAGACCAGTCCTCCAGTGTGACCAGCAGTTTGTAGTTTCCCTGGTTAGTCAGCCAGTAGATGTTCTCTAGACCCAGCCAGTACTCGCCGTCAATATTGCCAAAACCTTGCTGTGAAGTGCAGTATTAAGAAAAAAAACATTATCAGTACAATTAGTAAATCCCTTCTGAATGTTGTTTGAAAAGCTTTGAATGGTTAGATTGGACGGCCGGGGGATGATTCAGGGTCGTTGCTCCTGCTCTGGTTATAATTGTGAATTTTATCTCTCTTTTCTTTTCTTTTTTTCTTTTTTTTTTGTGGTTGTTTATCGTCAAGGAACATTATCATAAATGGACCCTTTGATTCGAATTTATAGCTTCAGTCGGTTTTCCAGATTTCCACTGTTATGTTGTTATTGAGAATGCAGCAGGATACAGTGCATTTAGTGTGAAAGCCAACATACTTGATCCTGGCGCGCCACTATTTTCTGGCTCTGGTCATATTATAAGTTGGTTTGTGGTGTTTCAAATTGTGGAAACACTTCTTTTGATGAGTGCACAAAGGCAATTTGAGATCTTGTGTGGTTTAGAGGTCTTTTTGCAAAAGTTTCTTTTGTTCCTCTGAGCTAAGATTTAATCAGGAGTCACAGCCTATAAATGTTTACCTATGAACTCCATCTTCCACTGTAAGAGGTTTCCCATTCAAGAGATAGAGGAAATTAGTTCCCCTGGGTAAGTGGTAATGTTCTCCACAGCCCTCCATAGCCATTTATCTGGTAGTTCTGGTGTAATATTCAAAAATTATTTTTCCAGAATGTCAGTAATGATAATACAACACACTAACTTGACTTCCAAATGCAATCCAATAGTTTTGTATGTGTGAATTTGTCTCAGAAGACCACTGAGACAAATACCTCATTGCTGAAATTAATGAGGTATTAGGCTGTGACGTATGCAGGGCAATCAGACTATATTAGACACGTGGAAAGCTTAACAGTCACCTATTCATTGGTCACTGACATCTGGTTAGTGTCAAAACACCCTACATAAGTAACCAGCTTCCCTCCAGACCATGAAGTCCTTGATCTGGTGTGAAGTTGCCGCACCTTGTACGTCTCCCAGTTCCTGAAAAAGTTGACAGAGCCGTCCACCCTCCTCTGAATCACAGTCCAGCCGCCTGGGTCGTGCCTCTGGTCACACCACACTTGCATAAGTCGGTTGGCATTCTCTGGCTTCACCAGGTACATGCCACTGGTTGCGTGTCCGTCTTCTAGAGCCTGCAGACAGTCTCTAAATGGGCCTAGACAGAAAGATTAAAGCATAATGTGTACACAGCATGTAAAACACACTCAGTTGCAAGTCTTTGCTCAAAGGTTGAGAGTCAGAAAAAGAGAAAAACTCAGAGTGACACAAAGAGTTACTGTACTTTACCACAGGGAATCCCAGTTTTCTGCACAGGCGCTCATTTTAACAGTAGAATTGACTTTGGCTTCTACTATCACAAGGGAAATGGCTGCTGATTGCGCAGCCAAAAGAAACACTGGCATGAGGGCAAAGGGAATCCTGACTACTGAATGATGAAACAATAGCAAAAACGTTTCAGTCATGTATAACACGTTAGAGTTCCGTGTGTGTTTATATTACCAAGATGTTAATGTTATTGCAGAGGGGAAAGAAACTGCACAGAACAGCCTGAGCAGCATCAAAACTGCATTATTTTTCAGCAGCTGTATCTACCCTAATTTGAACATGTGCCTATATTTCTTCCAAGCATAGCAAATATGGTAAAAACACTCATCTGCAAAAATGTTAAAATGTATTTAAGTTCTCAAGATTGCATGCTTGAGTGGTTTGCTAACTGGCCCGTGTTACAGTTTTTAAATGCAAAAAGAAAGACAATTATGGGCCGCACGGAGCATTGGAGTTGGAGGATGAGGTCCATCAGTGTTTTACACGAGGAAAAAAAGCAAGCATATGAAAGAAAGAAGCAAAGAACGTGTTGTTATACACATGTTTCTGGTTTCATGAAATCACTGTGGATGATATCTGTTTCATAGTCCACTCTTAGCCACCCATTTACTCTCAGGAATGTCTGTGTTGGGCCGATACAAGCCAGAAAGTTGCCCTGCCCTGCCCTTGCTCTGTTCTGCCTGATAAAGTCTGCTTCTTCGGTGGAACATATGACTGAGTCTTGCCTGGTTCAGCTGGAACAAATGACATCATTGACTCAGGGTATCTCTTTCTGTTTGTAGTTACACCCTCCCTTTTTTGTTAGACTTCATCCTCATGTTTTCTGTTTGCCTTTCAAATCCCTGTCTTCCTCTCTTTACTTCTTCGTGGTGTGTAGCTTTCTGTTACAGTTTTGAATAACTTTTTGGGGTGTTAGTTGCATGACCGTGGGCAGGAAATTACTTGCCTCCTTTCAAAAATTCATACAAAGGCTACTGTTCACATGCAGCCTGGTGAAAAGTGGCATGCAGTGGCACGAAATGTCAACGGAAAATGCTCCCACTGGAAATGCTGGGAATAGTCCGCTGTTTTTCCACCAAAACGAAAGTCTTTTAATAAAAAGGAGTGGCGGTGTACTATTCACTGCAACTGATCCCATCAAATGCCCTTCGCATCAATTCTTAAATCTGCACGCACATGTTCAAAAGGACAATGGGCTTAGGGCCAGGTATCCATTTAGGCGCACACAGTTAGCCATGCTTGTGTTTTTATGCGGGTTAAATCGTGGCAATTTGATGATATGCATCTGAAAAGGCAGAAGACAACAGCGTTTCTGTTCTCACGGCCAGCTCTCTCCTCTAGGAATGTGTGGGACAAATTTAAATTTGCTTGGACTACGAAGAATGGGTGTTAATGATTAAGAGGTTCACTCACAAACACGGTCTTTGTTTTGCGAATGCTGTTTGTCATGGCAGCTGGTTTGTTTTGGTACCAATGCATCAAATACAAATGTTTTCTGTTGGACTGTTAGACTCACCAGAGGGCTTGTCAGTGGTAGATGGACTGTGCGTACCAGTGGGCATTGTTGGAAGAACTGGTGGAAGAGACTTTTGGTCACTCTGGATTTCATTGCTGATTGGGTTGTTGATGCGTGGGATTACAGGCGGCTGGTAGGGCTTGTTAATAGGGGGTGAGGGTTGTGGTGGAGGCTGAGGCCGCGGCTGGGGCTGGGGCACGGGAACATGGCGAGGAGGAGGTCGACTCCGGCACTGCTCCTCCAACACGGCAATGAGAGCCGACTGGTTGGTGGCTAAAGAAGCCAAGTGCTGGTATTTGTGCTCGAGATCTTTGTACCGACTGGTGAGCTGTTGCATCTCAGAGGTTTGGTTGAGGATCTTGTTCTCCATCTGTGCCAGTTCTAGCGCATTGTCTCTCTTCCTGATGATCTCATGGAGCAGCTGCATGTACAGCTGAGTGACCCTGGAGTTCATGTTTCGACTCTCTTTCCTCAGAAGCTTGACCTCGTTGACGATGCCCCCATCCACCTCGACCAACTGCTGCAAGGTCTCGATCTGCCTCTTCTGCTTCTGTAGTTCCACATTAAGCAGCTCTAACTCTTGTTTGTTGACCCGGTTCTCCAGCATGGCCTCTGGCTCCTTGGAGTTGACACAGATGGCTCCAGTCACTTTTTGTTGAGGTACAATGAAAGTGTAGGAACATTTGTCCTGCTGCTGGTCAGCTGGAGCACGTTTGCTCCTTCCTGCATAGATAAAATCTCTTTCCAGACCCTCCTCGCTGCTCTCAAATTCTTGGGTACTGCCCCTGCCACGGCTGCCGTCTGAGCGACTCCCCAACGTCTGCTGGACTCCACAGGCTAGTCCATAAACTAGAAGGAGCCCTAGCAGGACCACTGAAGGGGGCTCCATGAGTTAGTGTCCAACTCTAAAGAATGCAAGTAAGAAAATGGAAAACATGGAGATGTTTAGGGGGAAACTATCAACTGTTAAGCAGAAGACACAGCTATGCTCAATCTGTTACTTCTACATTTAAAAGCACAAATAGGAATAAACCAAAACCTTATTTTGATGCAATATCAAGAGAATCTTGATGTTAACATAGGTCTATTACCAGAAAAAGCTTGCTCATCAAGATACACTGGTTTTGTCTTCATTAACCACAAGAAACAAACAGGTACAGAAGCAGCATGCATACACGTCATGTCAGTGTAGGCTGGGCAGAAGTTGGCAAAGATACAGTCAACTGAAAGAAAATGGCTCACTTGCCCTGCTGAGTGTCACAGATGTATTATATTCATACGTAATCCATAAATCTGAGTGTCTCAGTGTCTTTGCTGTTCATATCACTGCTGGTGTGAGCAGACACTGTTGCTTTGCCTCTGGCTTTAAGTGTAATTTACGAAATGTGCTGAGCCTGTTTTTTTAAAATTGAAGTCCGAGCTTCAAAAGCAATACATGCACACGTGGTTTGATAGTTACTAATACACCTCATTGCCCCGAACAGTGATGTGCTGATCACTTTGGTTTATTAAGTCGCTGGTAGGAGCGTGCGCTTAGCTTAATTTGTCGTTCTGGCGTCGGCTCCGCTTGAGCGACTGCCACCACTTGTCCCTTACGCACTCCAACATGCATCTGTTCCACTCTGCAGGCCTGGACATCTTAACTCATGGAAAATTTGAGACACCACCAGATGATGCTATTCAAAGCTCTGTTTAAAGTATTGAGCATGTTGCATCAGTTCTGTGTATATATAGCTCCTACCAAAACTGGGAAATTGGTTGCATTCAGACGATTAATCATAAGTCATGAAGGAAATTCATCTTAATTTGCAGACTTTAAACGCGTCTGTTTCTGCTTTGACCGCGAGACTGAAAGCTTACTTTAGCATTCAGCATGAATATGAATGAATAAAGGCAGCTAATATTATCCTCATCTTTGCTTGATTGAATCTGAGATAAAGTTCAGTTTAAAATCTCTTTAAAATCATATTTCCTGTGTGTAATTAAGCATTTCCTCAAGGGTTCAGGAGAATTAAAATATGAGCTATTCCCCTAGAATTCATTTATATTATTAGTAAAATAAGTTTTCAGAGTTTTTGAAGATCTGGAGGAATGTGCTACTGGTTGTTGAGGTAAATGTAACTCCTGCATAAGGATAACAAGGCCTGTAACTCCTTGGGCAGCATAATTGAAAGCTGCTGCATATTGGATTACAGAGGGGTCCTGTTTAACACCTCCTTGGAGTCAAAGTGGGCCGGCCTAATCATAAAGCATTACAGAAAAACCTAAATTGGGTGTGTAACGATTGCCTGCCTTCAGGACTTCCATTTGTTATTGCTTATCTTTGTGTAAAAGACCATCTACCATATAACGGTGAGCACAAAATTGGGAAGAGAGCAGAAATGTTTTTGTCTTGTTAATCCGGGCGTGTAGCCAGCACATTAGATTGGAGACTTGGAGAAGAGAAATGCAGCACTGTCCAAGATCATGACCCTTGGCACATTTGACTCTTCTGGCTTTATCTGTCTAGAATCAAATGTGTAAACACTTTCTTCCTGGGGGAAAAAAAAGTAATAGAAATGATCTTCTGCACAGTTCATGCTAGTCTTATGCAACCTGTGTTTTTGATGTCATCGTTTACTCAGCCAGAACATTTTCTTTTTAAATTACAGTACAAAAGAGCACAAGGTCTCAGAGGTACTTTGGTAATACAATACTTTAAAGCACTCGTCACCTATGCAAAAAAATAAAAATAAAAAAAATAAGTGCACAGTTTCTTCTTTAGATAAAGCACGAAACTCTTCTGTCTTTCAGAAAAGCTAATCCATCTGACAAAGCCCGGCTCAGTGAGGGCATCTCTGCTATTACTGATTGACGCCAAAATTGTAGTGTCAAAATATTTTTCACACTATGCAAAGAGATTCTTCTAATCAAGTCTGACAAATATAGTCTTAAAGTCTTACAGATCAAACCCTGAAGAAGTGACTAATAATAGCTTACAAGTAAGCCCGCGGCATGATAATAGAGCAGCTCAGGGCCTGTCCTGCAATGTGCTGATGACTGTATTTGTCCACGGCTCCTGCGGTTTCTCCCCCCCGGAACATGAGCTCTGTCTCAGAGAAATGCCGTGTGATTTGCCCCTGCTGTGGAGGACTCCCATTTTGGACGTAGTTAGCCTGGAATCTCCTGCTCTAGGCTTCTCTACACTTCAAAGCTGAGGGGAAAATGTTTGCAGCTTGCTGTGAAACGTGTGTTCGCAAGTGTGATGCAGTCTGTGCATGTCTATGAATGTTTTCCCCCTGTTAATGTGTTTCTAATAACAACACTTGCTGGCGTTCAGTATCCCGGAGACAATAGCCAGTCTCATCTGCCCCAGCAGAGGCAGCATGTTATTACCTTATCCATAGTCTGCCAGGGGGATCAGCGGAAAAGCCTTTACCTCCTTATTTCCTGTTAAAACCCCCGTGGACTTTATAGTCCTAAGATCAGTCCACCTAAACAAACTGCTACTGACCACCAAACGCTGCAATTATTGAGTGGTCCTTAAAAGTGCCATATCCATACATACTCTGCTCTAGGCCTGAAGGCATATGATCGAATGAAATGAGTGAGCCTTCTTGTTGCAGTATGATTGGCAGCTCCTCTTAGGTAATTTTTTCGAATCTGCTTCACACCAACATGTTTTGGTTTCACTGTTTTCAGGTGGTAAGTCTGTGTTTACACGACTCCTCTTTCTGGATTTTGCTCCGTGTTAAATTAAGTGTGATGGGTGGGTGAAGGGGGCGAGGTCACTGTGTCTCTGACCAGCGCCATGGTCATGCTCAGCACATATTAATTAGAAGGTGGGCTGCCTTGCTCCGGCTGGTCCATGCCTCTCACCCCAGCCCCTCTCATTTCAGACTGAGCATGGCATTCCAAACATTCTTCGTCACCTCATTAGAGCGAGCCGCCATACTCACACCGAGAGTCAGTGGCAGTGGCGGAACCGAGAGCTGTAGATGGAGGACCACTACTACGCCCCCGCCTCTCGTCATCTACCTGTAAGATGCTCCATAGCTGCTGACCCACTTCATTCATTGTCCTACTTTCTGTGTGAATGCATCACAATCACACCATCATCATCACCCTCAACAGGAGATCACAACACGGCTACACAGCATCTCATTTGCCAGTTGCCAAAAAAGAAGCGGACACTTTGCCGCGTGGCTTTGTGCTGCATGTTCAAATTAGCGCCACCGCTGCTGAGAACTGGCAGTCTCCTGCATGACACCCAATAAGTGTTGGATCAGAGTCAAATTCAATCTGCTCATGGTAATCTGCACTATTGCTTTACCTTGAGGCGAACCTCATTCTTTTCTCAAGCATGTAATCCTTATGAGCGTGTAACATGTCATTTGAGGCATGATTAACCCCAGTTACCAGCTTGGTAACTGGGGTTATTTTTGTAATTTCCACTGTCTACTGAAAAGCGGAGATAAAGTTTTTTTTTTTGAATGTAGGTTTTGTTCCACTCAATGCTCTTTTTTTTTCTCTCTTGTGATTTCAGACAGGGAGGCAGGGGGTCTTGGGAATTGTTTCGATAAGTTCCAGCATTCTACCTCAAAGCCCCCTTATCCAAACACCACCCTGGCAACAGAAACAAAGACTAGATTCAACCGCCTGCTTCCCTGTCCTCTTGAGTCCAGGGGAACATCCTGAAGCTGCAGTGTGCTTAACATAGTAAAGTTGTCCCTTTTTTTCTCCCCCCTCTTTATAAATGGGCAGTTATTTATAGATAATAAAAAGAAGTCTTGTGTCCGGCACCATCATAAAGAGCTCTTCATACATATAACACGTACAGGGCATGTCCCTTCATTTTAAACTTTAAGAGCTCTGTGTTTTGAAAACACAGAGGTTTTTTTTTCCTAATGAGTAATAAAGAGGCACTTCACTATAGAGGCTCACTCACCAGCATCCCCCTGTGCTGAATTAACCTCCCCTTGCCCAAATCTGTCATAGTCAGCATCAGTCCAGTTAGTCACCATAAAGCATAATTACCTTTTGGCTACAAGCAGTGAGTCAGATGACGGATGCTGCATGATGACTGCTGAATTCAGGATTAGGCAGAAATCATTAAACCAAGTACAGAAGTCTGACTTCAGACTGCTGTTACAAAGTGAGCTTAACCACACTACTAGAACTAGTTATTGAGACCGAGTCTACTCACAACTCGCTACCTCAAGATACTAAAAACGAGTAAAGTCATTTTTGAATGAATGCAACACCCTGTTGAAATAAACCAGATCATAAGGTAACTGCAGATTCATAACAAGGTTACATCATGCTTACGAGATAATTGCACAATACAGGTGAGGCTCCTTCAGTTCCTTTGCCCTCCTGCCAGATTTGTCTGAAGTTTCTTATGGTTGAACGTCATCCCAAGGGTGAAACCTGCACCCCCGCGTAGTCCTCTCTGCGCTCTGGCTGTCTATAGTTACTCAGCCTTTTCTCACCTTAGTCCACTCCACCGGTGAAAAGGTGGCGTTTCAAAGCCTATTGTTGTAATTGTTAAAAAAAGAAAAAAGAAACTGTCAGTAGCCAAACAGAACGTCAAGTTGAAACTAATCTTCAAACATTAAGGAGATTGCTCCCAGATCCACTTTAACAAAAAAAAAAAAAAAAAGTTGTGAAGAGAAAAAAGGGACAGCTGGTAACGTCAGCCAGGTGGCAGAGGTAGTTTCCTGATCAACAGTGAGAGTCTGAGGCAGGTTGTGTGCTGCCCGCGGCCCGTTAGGAGAGGACTGTCACTTTCCTGTGGGCTGAATCCATCACTTCTGCCTCACAGCTCTAAGAGGCTGTCTCTCTCCACTGCACCTCTCTCTCTCTCTCTCTCTTCCTCTCTCTCTCCTCTGTGCTTTTAAATGATGAAAAATCCTGTAGTAGTTTCAGTAGTCAGAGCCCTGCACCCCCACCCTCCACACACACACACACACACACACACACACACACACACACACACACACACACACACACACACACACACTTAAATGAACACATTCTTTTTTTAAAGCAAAAGCCTTCTGTCTTCTACCCCTCCCCCCATGGCACAGAAGAGATTCACAATCACGCACAACACAAGCTACACACTCACACACACTCTACTCAGATTTCCAACCCCTGCCCCCTGGCTACTGGTTCACCACCACCACTACCACCACCACTATTTCTGGCTTGGATTGCACGGTTCTCCTGGTGTTGGACAGCAGGGACATCAGACTGATCACATCCTAACTGTGCGTGAATGAGCGCCCGTCCTGAGAAACAGCCTGACGGATGGGAAGCAGATCCAAGTGTTTGACTAAAGCCAGGTCTGCTTCACATCGTGGACATGACGTGTTTGAAGCAGGCTGGATTCCTGCATTGCGATGCTGCTCAGAGATAGTAAAAATGAATTAATTTCAGGAGTGTATCAATCATACGGGGCTGAACAAGACGACATGAAAAACACGATTATGTGCGTGTGGAGAGCGCTGCCAGCAATCTACAAATTCCTCAATTGGTCTCATGTGGCTGGTTGTCTGTTGTTCTTGTGTTGTCTTCCTGTTTTGCATTTTGCCCTGCCAGTAATGTGGGATTCCTGTCTCTACTAAGATTTTTGCCATTTCATAATTTTCTATTCAAAGCAAGGATGTATCATAGAAACACATACAATGCCATAACAACAGAGGAATTTATCCCTCTCTTGCTGCTCTTAATTTAATTTCTTCTTCTTAAAACTGTAGTCAGCTGTTTAAATTGTTTCAAACCAGCTTCCATTATAAAGACTTGCTAACTGTTAATCTGGCCAATATTCAGTTTTTTAGCATTAGATAATGTGACAGTGAGGTGATCACATCCTATCTAATGACAGGTCAGCAGCAGTCAGCAAAGCCAAAACTGACTTATAGTGATTTATGACTCACAAATTGCTGCATCTCTAAACTTGCAGATGGGCTTCATTGTCAATCATCTTCTTTTAACTGGCTTCGAGCCTTTTTTTATACCTTAGTGAATAAAAAGATGGTATCACTACTCTAAGTATTCATTTTGTCATGCTTTGAATAATTAAATAGTATATGTGCAAACATCATTGTGTTTTTCTGACTCTGTGTTGTCTAAAGTTGTCAGTTCTGCTGCTGGGTTTGTTTTACGGGATATCTCATTCTCCCTTCTGGAACATAAACCTTAAATATGTTGCAGATGGCGACTACCTTTTATGCGCGTTAACGAACCTGTAAAAGTGTTGGGATGCATATAAAAAGGAAAGAATGGGGAAGAAATTCATGAAGTTTCTGCAACATAGCTTTAATTTGAGAGTTAAGTAGCAGAAGTAGCAGACATCTCCATTATTGGACATGTCCAAATCCACTCATGCTAAATAAAGGGGCCACAAGTGGTGTTCAAGTTAATAGCTGAGGTCTTACAGTTATATGACCCCCCCCCTCCCTTTTTTTTTGTTCTTAACTATGTATGCAGCTGTTCCAGTAATTGTGTATTCTAAAATCAGCATTTTCCATTGTGTTATTTGGTTATATAAGTTCCTTTTAAGCCTGCAGATTGAATACACCTCTGAAATCAAGGCTGTTGTACGGTTTTCATTCTCTCCGAGGAATAGGCCAATCATAAAAAAGTCATACCTCAGTTTTCGGAAATGTTTCAGTGCACTATTAAATAACTTCTAGCAAGAAAGGAAAAAAGCTATACACATCAGGCACTGTTGAACCTTGCTCATGTTTCATGCATTTTTGCAGTTAATAAAAAGAAATTACTGCAAACGGCTGCGTGCTGAAAGTACAATGAGAAACAGAGAAAGAAATCAAGCAAAAGACAACAAATATTTGAATATGTGTAATGGTTAACCTCATCACCACAATAAGCAGCATGGTACTGTTGATATATTTGCTTCACATTCTTCTGTCGGTTTCTTTGCACAGATCACGTGTGGTTCAGTGTTTACAGGCTGACAGATGTTGATTTCAGTTTCTTCCTAAAGTGAATAGAACAGTCTAAATGTTCCTCCTGAGGACACAGTGGGAATGTAAAACTGCGTTTGTGGAGCAAAGTTGCTGGCAAAAGATACTGGACCAGCAACATCCTGGATTAAGGCAGACTGATGGAGTAGTCACTCATTTGACAAAATAATCCCTTAAAGGGATTTGTGATCAAAGAAACTGGGATTCCACTTAGATCTCATGGATCACATGTTACACTGGCATTTTTTTAATGCCGTCCTTGTTTTCTTCCCTGTCTTATATGACAGCTGCAGCTGAATGTGGTCAGCACATGAATGACAGTGCTTTCAGCGTTTTTGCCTGACTCGTTGTTGAATCTCATCCAAAACCACCGTGTTGGTGCAGTGATTAGGTCTCTTTCCATCTCTAATCTCTAGCAGGTGGGAGGAACACTGAAGTCAGTGGGAAAATGTTGCACCCATGCTGAAATGGTGACCAATCAATGCATTTTAAAGCTGCTACCACATGGGAGAGAGTGTGGAAAGGATCTTCAGTTTGGAAATGTTTCACAGATGGCCTCCTATGTTGGTGAATGAGTTAATAATTTGAGAGCCTGGTTGCTTGCCAGTACATCGTTTGGGGTTTTGCAGGTTTTGCAGCAGGAAAGTTCCTGTTATTACTAGAAATGGAGTCGAGTTTAACAGTGTCTATTTCTTGATTTAAAGGTAAGTTTTTCTGGTTCTTTTTGCTGACATTCGGTGAATGTTGTAAATAGGTTAACAGATGTAGCAGGATGTGCATGTCAAACAAATATGCTTTCTTGCATCAGTGATGCTTAAAAGCTCAAAACCTAGATGATGTATTTATTACTTCTTTTGTCATTCTTATCAGGTTGTCCTAAAAGCTCCCTGTAAAGTCGTCATTTGATGAAAAGAGTGAAAGTGAGAGCATTTTTCTCCCATATTAATTTCTCCTCATTGGCTCCCTGTAAATCTAATTTAAAATCCTGCTCCCCACATACATGGTCTTGAATACTTAGGCCCCATCTTATCTTATTGGCCGTATAGTGTCATATAACCCCAACAGAGCATTGTACTTACAGCGAGCAGGCTTACTTGTGGTTCCTACAGAATGTAAAAGTAAAATAGGAGGCAGCCTTCAGCTTTCAGTGGAACAAACTCCCAGGCTGCATTTGGGAGACAGACACACTGTCTGCTTTTAAATTAAGCTCAAAGCTTTCCTTTTTGACAAAGCCCCTCCCAGAGCCTGGTTGAGCTGGAGGTTTCTTTCTGCTAAAAGGGAGTTTTTCCTTCCCACTGTCGCCAATTGCTGCTGTATTATTACAGTATCTCTACTTTACAATATAAAGCTCCTTGAGGTGACTGCTGTTGTGATGTGCTATATAAATAACATTGAATTGAAGTGAAATGAACTGCTGTATAGAACATTTTGGATCTGTTTAAGATAAAAAATGTAGCGTCTTCTTCTCTTTGACATATTCTTGCAGCAACTCTGAACACATGTCCACACACATAAGAGGAAATGGAAAGAAACAGCTAAAAACAGCTTTTTCATATAAGCAAACTATTCTAGTCCCCATGTGTTTCAAATATTACAACATATTGTATTTAAAAGATTTGCGTTGTCCTGACTTGAACGCTGATGTGGTTGATTATGAAAGCTTATTGAAAGAGAACTGTAGTCCTCTACTTTGATAGAAATATTACTGGCCAAAATACAAGTGCTACAGTTTTCAATAAAACAGAGCTTTAGGATTACATCAATAGACATGTTTTTCCTTTTTTTTCCATGAGCTGATGTTTCATCAACAGCGGTTTCCCTTGAGAACTGGAAGGAAAAGCATGACATCATGTTTTCCCCTCCTTTTTAGTAACTCTGAAGGCAATTAAATCTTATCGCTGCGCTCATACAACATAACATGCTGTGGAATCAATTCAGACTTTAAGAGTTTAACATCAGTGGGTCAGTGAGACACTATTAAATACAAAAGTATAAAAGTACACGTTGACCAAACATGTGACCAAACAACTCCACTTTGCTCTGGTCGGTTCAGAAAACATCGCTACAGAAGCCTTTGTGCAGATGCAGCTTTGTTAACTGAGCCTGTGCTGCTATGTTCATTTTAGAGAGAAGAGGCTTTCTCACAATAGCTCTTCTAAATAAGTTGTTTGGTCCTTTTCTAACTGTACTGTGATGAAATGTAACATTTAACTGAGGCCTGTAAAGTCTAGTAGAGGGTCATTGACACATAATGACACACTTTTATGACATGTTTTCTTAATTTTTCCACCGACTAATGACCAGATCATTTGTTATTACATTTTAATATATCTAAAACATTAGAACTAACAGAGTGTGTACTGTATTATTTCTACTGTGTACCATTTATGTACTCTGGGTGACCTAGAATATTTCTCATGATATAGGAAAAAAATCTATGACTAACTCATTTATTTAGATTTGGGTCACACGTCACCTTTATAGCCTGTTTGTACTCAATGTCGGGTTTTTGCCTCAAGTTGTGAAAGCATCCTGCACTTTACTTGGAAGTACTTTATTGGAGGTTGTTAAAGTAGTTCCGTTTTTAGGAAGCAGACGTGATCTTGCTCTCAGACATGCCTGGGCTTGTCCCCTTGTTGCATGCACTAGGAAACATAAACGCATGGTGCGTAAAAATCCGTCTCGGCACTAATACGACAGATTGTTTTGAATTAGATATAAAAAAAAAGGTGGTAAGGTGGCAAAGACTACATTATTAAAATCAATAAATGACCTTTTTTTTCAAGGAGTATTTCATTCTGTGAAAGTAATAGTTTAAAGAAACTGTTGTG